TTTAAATAAAATCTAATTTAGTATTCTCCCTAGTGTTGACTGATGTCTTTGTTCTGACTTTTGGTTATTTTTTTCCCCATGTTTTAAATAAAAGTTCCTTGCCTTTTTTTTTTTTCTCCCCCACAGTGGGTTTTTCTTCCGGATCAAGATCAGAGAGCTCAGTTAATCCTCCCACCCCCAGTTCATGTTGACTACAGGGCCGCTTGCTTCTGTCACCGAAATCTCATCGAAATTGGCTATGTCTGTTCCGTGTGTTTGTCAAGTAAGTTCATGTGTCTAGTTTTTCTTTTTTCTGTGTGTGTGGGGTGGGGTGAGCAGAAAATATCTCAACCATGTGATTTTTAAGCCATCCTGTTTTTTTTTATTTTTAATTTACAGTATTCTGCAATTTCAGCCCTATCTGTACCACGTGCGAGTAAGTATCTTTGAGGTTGTGTGGGTGGCTCACACTTAAAAGACTGAGAGCGTTAAAAAGTGTTTTTCTGGGCCGGCCCGTGGCTCACTTGGGTGAGTGTGGTACTGATAATACCAAGGCCATGGGTTCGGATCCCATATAGGGATGGCCAATTAGTTCACTTGGGAGAGCTTAGTGCTGACAACACTATGTCAAGGGTTAAGATCCCCTTACCGGTCATCTTTTAAAAAAAAAAAAAAAAAGTATTTTTCTGGGCTGGCCAGTTAGCTCAGTTAGTTAGAGCATGGTGGGGGTCTTTGTTGTTTTTTGACAGCTGGCTTTAAGGGGGATCTAAACCTGTGACCTTGGTGTTATAAGACTGCCCTCTCACCAACTGAGCTAACCGGCCAGCTGACAAAAAAAATAAAGAAAAAAAAGAAAAAGTGTTTTCCTCTTTTTGTCATTTTAGGACAGCCTTTAAGATTTCTCTTCCTCCTGTACTGAAGGCCAAGAAAAAGAAACTGAAAGTGTCTGCATAATGATAAAATGTTTTCCCCATCTTTTAGAAAATAGGATTTGTATGGCAGAATCTTTGTTGGTAAGACTCTGAAAAAATGTATATATATATAT